GTTCCCAGTTTTTGATGATTACAAATAAAACTGCTCTGAACATTTGTGTACCAGTCTTTGTGTGGACAAATGTTTTAGGTTTTCGGGTAAATGTCTAGGAGGGGAATGGCTGGGTCATATCATATGGTAGGTACGTGTTTAACTTTTCAAGAAATTACCAAAGTGTTTCCTAAAGTGATTTACCACATTTTGTATTCCTCCAGCAGTGTGTGAGTTCCATGTGCTCCACATCCTCGCCAACACTTGTTACGATCAGTCTTTCTAATTTTAGACATTCTTATGGATGTATAGTGGTATCTCATTGTGATTTTTAACTTGCATTTCCCTAATGGATAATGATACTCTGTATCTTTTTATGTGTAATTATTGGTGATTCACATATATTCTTTTGTGAAGTGTCTGGGAGCAGGGGGTGAAGGTGGTGTTAGAGCTGCTCATGTTGAGGTCCCTGTGAGACATCCGAGCAGAGATGTGGAGTAGACAGTTGGAGAGCGGAGTCTAGACTTCAGAGGAGGTGCAGGCTGGAGATGTAAATTTAGGAGTTGTCAGCTTATAAGTGTCTAGAGCTAGGAGACCCGATGAGATTATTAAGGGAGGGAGGGTAGACAGAGAAGAGGCCCAGGCCTGAGTTTTGGGGCACTGGATTAATTTGAAGACAGAAAATGAGGAAGAACCACTCAAAGAGACTAAGAAGGTGAGGTAGGAGGAGAACAAAGAGAAAAAAGTGTTAAATGGCACACAATGTTGTAACAGCTGGGCCTCCAAAGATGGCCCATTAAGAACCACACACTCTGTTATTCACACTCTTGTGCAGCCCCTCCCACTTTCACTGGGGCCTGGCCCTGCGTAACCAATAGAATGTAGCAGAATTGACACGCCTGACTTCTGAGGCTAGGTCATAAGATGCCGTGCAGCTTCCACCTTGGCTCTTAGAACACTGCTGTGGGATGAGCCCACTGCCATCAAAGAAGCTTAACTACTCTGAGCTGCCATGATGTGAGGGAGCCCACGCCAGCCACTTGGAAAGACCACATGGAGAGAAAAAGATGGCCAGCTGGTCCCTGGTTGTTCCGGTCATCTCAGTTGAGGCAGCAGACGAGTCAGTGAAGAGGCCATCTGGACGTCCAGCCCAGTCAAGCCTTGAGGTGACCTCAGCAGCAGCTGCTTTCTGACAGCAACTGCATGAGAGACCCAAACGAGAACCTCCCAGCTGAGCCCAATCAACACACAGCACTACGACGGATAAATTGTTTTAAGCCTCTTAGTTCTGGGGTGGTTCATTATGCAGCAGTAGATACTGGAGGCAGATGTGAACAGTGAAGGGAGACTGACCAGCCCCCCAGCCCCCACCCAGAGCACAATGTCCTGCAGCCCAGACCCATGGGGAGAGGGGTACTCCACCTCAGCTGGACAGCTGGCTGCAATCTGATAGGTCCGTCTCTCTCTGCTAAGAGGAGAATAAACTCTTTGTGACCACAGAAGTGCATCTGCCAAGGGCCCCACAGCCCCCAGGGCCCTGACAAAGGACAGCAGGGGAGATTTTCTGGGAACTGGCTCACCACACACCTGAATACTTCACATCTGGCAGGACGGAGAGAAGCCAGATCAAAGAGGCTGGCGACTCCGGGAAGCTGCTGGTCCTTGTCATGGGGGACTGCTCAGGGGCACGCCACGGTCAGGAGTGGCTGCTGGCCCCTACTGACCTTTACGTCAACAGAGACTGCCTCTCTCTCTGTCTTTATTTTCTTCTTTCTCTTTCTTGGTAGTTAAAGCATTTGTAAATTAATATTTTATATAGATGGTACATGTTACATAGATAACATACGTTTTATTATATACATGTAATTAAAAGCAACCATTCCATCCCACCCTTCCCACCCCTTACTCAGTTCTCTAGAGGCAATCACTTAAGTTTTTGTTTCAAATTTATTTGAATAGGTAATACAGGCATGAGGTAAAAATTTCAAAGGTACCACCCAGCTCCTCTCCTCAAAGGCAACCACTCTCACCAATGAATTACATCTTCCAGAGAAATGCTAGGTCTATGTCAGCATGTAATATAAAGATCCTTTAAAAATAATACAGAAACGGTAATTTGCTACAAACACTGTTACGCACCTTGCTTTTTCACCTAACGCTGTATCTCGAAGATCTTCCATATCAGGACATCAACCCCTGCTCTCTTATTTTCGGAGGCTGCACAACATTTCATCGTAGGCATGGATCATAACTGGTTTAGCCAGCTCCTACTGAGAGACATCGAGGTTGATGCCAACCTTTTGATATTTCAGTGAAGCAGCAAAGAACCTCGTCCTCACGTCTTCCCGCACATGTGTGCCTCTACCTGTAAGGATCCTGGAGTCAAAAGGTCCGTGCTTTTATCATTTTAGTAGGTACTGACAAACTGTCCTGCAAAGAGATCGTACTGATGTACGTGTCCACCAGCTTCCTACTCGTGTCCCTTTCTCCACACCCTCCTCAGTTCTCTTCCAATAAAAATCAACCATTTTGATCTTTGCTATCTAATTGGTAAGGAATGGCATTTCTGTACCGTCACGTTTGAAATGTCTTTGTGTGTGTGAGGAAGATTGGTCCTGAGCTAACATCTGTGCCAACCTTCCTCCATTTGCTGTGGAATGCCGCCAGAGCATGGCTTGACAAGTGGTGATAGGTCCATGCCTGGGATCCAACCTGTGAACCCCGGGGCGCCGAAGCGGATCGCACAAACTTAACCACTATGCCACCAGCTGGCCCCTGAAATGTCTCATTAGGAGGCTGAAGATCTCCATATTCTTAGTTGGCATGGTAACCACCTCTAGCCTTTGTAGCTATTTCTTCTAGTTGTTATTTCCATGGAGCTAAATAATGTACTTATGTGGCCATTCGTTGATTTATCAGCTTTAGACATTATCTATTAATTTTTGCTCCAATACATGAAGATTTAGCTCACTTACAGTATTCTTGCATGTCCTCTGTCTTTCTGCCCTTCCATCCTTCTCCGTTTATTTATGAGAAATATGACTGGTTTTCCATTTACGGTAGTGATTTCTTCTTAAGTAGACTGTATTTTTTGGAGCAGTTTTAGATTCACAGTAAAAATGAGTAGAAAGCACAGAGTTCCCATATAACCGTGCCCCCTCAGACGCTCAGCCTCCCCCACTGTCAACAGCCCCCACTAGAGGGGGACATTTGTTACAATCATGAACTTACATGGACACATCATTGTCACCCAGAGCCCGTAGTTTATATTAAGGTTCACTCTTGCTGGTGTGCATTCTATGGGTTTTGACAGTGAGTAATGACATGTATCCCCCATTACAGTATCATACAGAATAGTCCCTGCCCTAAAAATCCTCTGTGCTCGGCCTATTCATCCCTCCCTCCCCCCAGCCCCTGGCAGCCACTGATCCTTTTACTGTCTGCATGGTTTTGCCTTTTCCAGAATGTCATATAGTTGGAATCATACAGTATGTAGCCTTTTCAGACAGGCTTCTTTTACTTAGCAACATGTTTAAGTTTCCGCCATGTCTCTTCATGGTTTGATAGCTCATTTCTTTTTATTTATTTATTTATTTTTGAGGAAGTTTAGCCCTGAGCTAACTGCTGCCAATCCTCCTCTTTTTTGCCGAGGAAGACTGGCCATGAGCTAACACCCGTGCCCATCTTCCTCTACTTTATATGTAGGACGCCTGCCACAACATGGCTTGTCAAGTGGTGCCACGTCCGTACCTGGGATCCGAACCAGTGAACCCCAGGCCTCCAAGAAGCAGAACGTGAGAACTTAATCGCTGTGCCACGCGGCCAGCCCCATCTCATTTCTTTTCAGCACTGAATAATATTCCATTGTCTGGAGGTACCACAGTTTATTTATTCATTCACCTACTGAAGGACATCTTGGTTGCTTTCAAGTTTTGGCAATTATAAATAAAGCTGCTAAAACATTCGTGTGCAGGCTTTTAAATGGACATTAGTTTTCAAATCCTTTGGGTAAATAACTCATTTGGGTAAATATCAAGGAGCACCATTGCTGGATCATGCAGTAAGAGTATATTCAGCTTTGTAGGAAACCACCAGACTGTCTTTCAAAGTGGCTGCACCATTTTGCATTCCCACCAGCAATGTATGAGAGTTCCTGCGGCTCCACATCCTCACCAGCATCTGGTGTTGTCAGTGTTTGGGGATTTTGGCCATTTTAGTAGGCGTGTAGTGGTATCTCATTGTTGTTTTAATTTGCAATTTCCTAATGATGTACGATGTTGAGCATCTTTTCTTATGCTTATTTGCGATCTGTATATCTTGTTCCGTGGGATGTCTGTTTAGGTCTTTTGCCCAATTTTAAATCAAGTTGTTTGTTTTCTTGGTGTTCAGTTTTAAGAATTCTTTGTAAATTTTGGATAACAGTCCTTCCACAGATGTGTCTTTTGCAAATATCTTCTCCCAGTCTGTGGCTGGTCTTCTCATCTTCTTGAGTGATACAGTTTTTAACAAATGAATTATTTTAAGTTTAAAAAGTGAGTCCATTTAAAGAAAAATATTCAGGAAATAATGGTCAAGGCGGTATGGATATAGCGAAAAATGAAGGCGTAGCCAACGGACTCAGGTTTGGGCAGTACTGATGCTGCAGCTGGAGCCTGGTACACAGCCTCGCTCCCAGGCTCCCTACATGGCCGTTATTATGGCTATTATTACTATTTTAATAACACTGGCAGCTATTGTTGGTATTATCGCTATTATAATTATGGTACAGTGGCTATTACTGATATTCTCGCTATAACAATATACTATTGTTATCTATTATAATATATCGCTTTGATGAATCTCTGTGTCGCCTCAGTGGAGACCCCTGCAAAGCTGTTGCGGTTTATTTCACTGCCACAAGCTGTGCAAAGTTTGGATGGAACGAATGCAGGTGGATATCAGTTCGTGACAGGTAGGAGGTGGGTCTGGGGCGAGGTCCGGCCAGGAGCCTCCGCCCAGCACGGGGCGGGCCGCGTGGCGTCGGTGTCCGACGGCGTCCGGTCCCCAGCCTGAGTCCGGTCATGGCCCAGCGCCGCGCGGCGCGGATCCTGCCCCTGGCGCTCGCCCTGGCCGCGGTGGCCGCGGTGTCCCGGGCCCGGGGGTCGCTAGGTGCTCTCTGGTCGGGGCAGGGCTGCGCCGCGCTGGGCCGCTGCTGCCCGGGCCGTGACCCGACCTGCGCCGCCCGCGGGCCCCCGCGCTGCTTCTGCGACCAGGCGTGCGGGGCGGGGCGGGACTGCTGCGAGGACTACGCGCGGGCCTGCCCAGGTGCGCCCCGGGAGCGCGAGGCGCCGAGGGGAGCGACGGTATGGGGGTGCGGCGGAGGGAGGAAGGAAGGAAAGAAGGAAGGAAGCCGCCCATGGAGTGGGTTCTAGGCATCGGAGGCGCGCGAGCAAGGAGGAACACGGGCGCGCAGGACACCAGGGGGAAGAGTGGGCTGTGGAGGTGCGCGCGGAGAAAGATGCGCGTGGCAGGGACAGGGGCGCGCGAGTCTCGGGGGGCGGAATGGACAGGGGCGCGTGGAGAGTTGAGGGGTGTTTGGGAGGAACAGGTGCAAGGACTGCGCGCGGGACGTGGAGGGCGGTGCGAGAGTGGGAGGGCTCGTGGAAGAGGCGCAGGAGCCAGGCCGGGGTGCGGGACGCGGGGCCCCGAACGGCAGTGGGCGCGTGCAGGCGTGGAGGGGCGCGGGAGAGGAGGGGGCGCGCCCACGCGCTAAGGAGGGAGGAGGGACGTGTGTGCGGTCAGAGGGGCCCGTGAGGCCTCGAGGGGTGCGAGGGAGGAGAGGGCGCTTGGGTTCGAGTGGGGTGCCAGATTTAGCAAATAAAAACACAGGATGCCCAGTTAAACTTGAATTTCGGATAAACGACCAATAATGTTTTTCGTAAAAGTATGTTTAAATATTGCATGGACCAAACTTACATTAAAAATCATGAATTATTTTTCTGAAATTCAAATGTAACTAGGCGTCTTGTATTTTATCTGGCAGCTCCAGCTGGGGGAAGGGCGTGGGGCCTGGAGGGGCGTGAGGGAGGCGCGGGCGCACGCGCTGCATTGTCAGCCAGGGGTTCCCAGGGCAGATGAAGAGGGAGCTGAGAAGCCGAGGGAACTCGGAGAGGAGCGACGCTGAGAGAAAGGAGAGAGGACCGGGGCTGGGTGTCCGGGAGGGGAGGGGCGGAGGAAAGGGGGGGGTGGGGGGTAGGGGGTGGGCGGGGAGCAGGTAAAACCAGGTCAGGTGGGCGGAGGCAGCGGGGCCTGATTCGAATGCAGGCAAGGCCACCTGTGGTCCCGGTGCTGGCCGGCCGTGGCCGCCAGACCAGGGTCCAAGCCTTCCCCAGAAAGGCCCCCCGCAGAGCAGTGTCCAGCGGGCTCTGAAATTAGGGGCAGCTTTTGTTGAGTCTCTAGTGGGGAGGCCTCTGTCCTTTGTAAATGCCAGGCGTAAATTTTTCACACCCACTGGAGACGAAACTCTAAATTCTGTCACCTTGTCAAGTGGATATGATCCAACTTCCCTGGGTCAGGGAGGAGAGACGGCGGTTGGGCCCTCTGTACCCTGAGACGTCAGTGGCGTTCCTCCAGGAGTTTACATTTAAAAGAGAGGGCACCTTTCAAAAGTCCACAATTGGAGAGACCCGCCGTTTATTGGGCACCGAGCTGCTCTGTGCCCAGGAGCGCTGGGGATCTGGTATATAATAACGTCCCCATTCAGCAGATGAGGAAGGCACCGCGCAGACAAGGGGGTGCTTTGGCCAGCCCAGGGGACCCAGCAGGCGTTAGACCTGGGTCTGATCCTGGGTCTTCTAGGCCCGGGCTGCTTCCCACAAGTTTGAGTGGCCACTGGCGGAAATTCAGGCAGCAGTGAGAGGAAAAAGGAATTTTGGGTGTGATGTCTTCCCAAATCGCAGCAAATGAAACTCCTCCAGGTTAGACTTGCGGAAGGACTGTCTTGGGAACACTTTCCTACTCTGCTTTCCGCACAGAGCGCCTGCGGCTGGAGTCGCTCAGAGTGTGGGGCTGCACCCGCCGGGGCTCCCCTCCCACAGCCTGGACTGGGAGCCCAGGAAGGGGCCCGGCAGAGGGATCAGGGATAGATTCCCACCGCCTGAGGTCTGACCCTCGCCCTCAGAATCTCGCGATGTTATTCAGCTCCCCAGCGTTTTGCAGGGTTGTGTAAAGAGCTTGGGCTGATGGGCCCAGGAGCCTCAACGCCTGACCTCCCTCTTTGTTTCGCTCCTTTGGGAAGGTGTCAAAAGGCAGCAGGCCTTGGATCTGGGCTGGGCGGAGCCAAGGTCTTGTGAATAGACCGGGGAAAAGTTTACTCTTCTACCTCCCAGGGGAGCAGGGGACGTGGGGACCAGTTACCAGGGAAGAGATGGAGAGAAGTGTATGATTTTTCATGAATGATTTAGATGAAGTTGACTGACTTTACTAATTGGTTGTGGTGGAGGGACATACTGAGGATGACTAAGAAACCCCCAGCGTTTACTGAGTGCTTACGACGTGCCGGGGAGGGACTGTTTTAAGGGCCTTACCTAAATTGTCTCCTGTAAACCTCCTAACAACCCTATGGAATGGCCAGTGTTATCCTGCCCATTTTACACTTGAGGCACTGAGGCCCAGAGGTAGTGGCCTGCTCAGAGTTGCACAGCTATTAAGCAGCGAATCTGGGATTTGCACCCCAGCAGTCTGGCTCCAGACCGCAATATTGTGTGGCTGTCGAGGGTGGGAGGGACGCCTGAGCGGAAGCGGGGCGGAAGGGAATCTCTTGACACTGCCCGCCTTCCATCAAATTGCTGGCCGCCTGCTGTGCACCCAGCTGTGCATGGTGGGGGCTGGAAAGATGGGGCTCTGGGCCCCCCTCAAGCTTATAATCTGTCTTTGGGAGACGGGGTAGCTGTGAAAGAAATCAACAATTTTAATCCGAGCAAGATGGGGCTTGGAAATGGTTGGTGAGGATGGGGTGGAGGAAGGGAGAGGGTGGGGCTGGAGTGACTAGCAAGGCCTTAAAGGATGGACATTGTTACTTCACATTTTTCAAGTTCTTTACCGAACATTTTCAGATATTTTATACTCTTCTATTATTATTTTTTTTTTTTGGTGAGAAATATTGTCCTTGAGCTAACATCTGTGCCAATCTTCCTCTATTTTTTTTTTTTTTGAGGAAGATCAGCCCTGAGCTAACATCTGCTGCTAATCCTCCTCTTTTTTGCTGAGGAAGACTGGCCCTGAGCTAAGATCCATGCCCATCTTCCTCTACTTTATATGTGGGATGCCTACCACAGCATGGCTTGCCAAGCGGTGCCATGTCCACACCCGGGATCCCAACTGGGGAACCCCGGGCCGCCAAAGAGGAACATGCGCACTTAACTGCTGCGCCACCTGGCTGGCCCCCTATTTTATACTCTTTAATTCTCATTTCAGCCCTGTAAGGATCAATGTCCCCATTTATGCACTTAGATATTCATTGTACCAGTCAGTACTCTTAGGGTTGTGGGACAACTTCTATTGACTTAAGCTAATAAGGGAATTTATTGGCTCAAGTAAGTGAAAAATAATCCATGGATTCTCACTTCAGGCATGGTTGGATCCAGGGACTCCAAGGATGTCATCAGGACTCTTATCTCTTTCCTCCTTTCGTCTCTGCTTGTGTTAGCTTCATTCTAAGGCATGCTGTCACCAAGTGGTGGCAAAGATAGTACCCCATAGCTCCAAACTGGCATCCTTAGTGGAATGAGAGCATCCTTTCCCAAGTTGTTCCAGTCCAAATCCAAGGGCTGGTTTTCCTGGGCCTGGTTTGGGTTACATGCTCATCCGTGATCTAGTCAGTCACTGAGCCTAGGGAGAAGGAATGTGTCAATTGGCCATGGCTGGGGCACATGCCCTAATCCCAGGAATGAGAGAGTGAGGTCAGCCCTGTGCAAACCACATGGACTGAGAGTGGGAAGATTGGATCCTCAAAAGAAAACTGAGGTGGTGTTATCAGAAGGGAGTCAGGGGCTGGGAGGGCAGAAGTGACAGTTGCCCACTTCTGAGCTGCGGGAGACCATGCATTTCAGGGAACTTGTAGTAAAAGCATGCTGAGACTTTCAACAAGAGGAGGGAGGGTGTGACTGGGGATGTTTTGCAGGAACTCTTAGATTTTTAGCCACTAGGCTTGAGGGGGTCTCTACGATCCACTATCAAAAAAGACCTTTTATGAACCACTTCAATAGGAGACAGGAACCGCAAAAGGATTTCAGCTGGCGGGCTGCAGCTGCATTCCAGGAAAATCCTTTTGGTAGACAGTGAGGATGATGGAGGGTCAGGGGGCCAGACGATGAGGTTCAGAGAGGAAGGTGGGGTTAGGATCGTGCAGAAAGGCATTTCTCTCCAAGCCGGGGCCTGTTGGCATAGGGGCAGAAGGATCCAGGGGACTGTGGGAAATTCGGTCTGGCTCCAGCAGGCTCAGCTGGCCTGATGTTATCTGGGTCTCCAGGGCTGGATGAGCAACCCTAACCGCCTGCCCCCGACCCTCCTCCCGTCGCCCCTTTTCAGCTACACTGATAAGCTGGAATTTCTCCTTTACCCGGAGAAAGGTGGGATGGCTTTTGTTTGGGGAAACACCGCCATCTGGTGGTACCTTCTGCAACGCCAACCTGTGGTCCTATTTCCTTTGTTGTTGCTGAGGCAAGATGGGCTCCCTCGGTGTTCACTGGCTCGATCCTCGCTGGGCCCCTGTGTGCCAGGCGCTTGCTTGGCGCTGGGATTCAGCAGGGAAAGGACCCTGCCTCCATGGAGCTGACTGTCTAGTGGAGCAGGCTGGCAAGATATGAATAATCCCGTGAATGCACCGAGGTCACGACCCCAGGCCTAGGTGAAGTGGGATGACAGTTCCCTGGGGGTGGCACATGCTTCCTGGTGACTTCACTCATGCCGGGTGACATGCAAAGAATATATGTGGGGTTGGCATCTGCCTAGTTTTCTGCAAAATCTCTCACCCACCTGGCAGGGCAGGCAGGGGATCACGGTGGGACTTTGGTGCTCCCTGTCGGTCCAGCCGCCCAGGCAGTGCCCAAATCTGGTCTGCAGTCTCCCTGTCAGGTTGTCCAGCCACTCTGCAAACACTTCCAATGGCCAAAACTCATTTCTTCTCGCTCTTCCTCTACTGTAGATTATCCTCTCTGGCCTGGACCACTGCAGTAGCTGTCTTGCTGGTCTCACTACTTCCCAGGGTACCGTCTCACCCCACCCAGCAGCTAGGGACATCCTTCTACAACCTTAAATATGATCATGTCACTCCTCTGCTCAGAACAATGCAGCAATGGCTTTTCTTAGAATGCTTAGAATAAAATCCAAACCCCTCACAGGAGTCCTCGAAGCCCTGGGTGCTGCCACTGTCCCCTCCCTCTCCGACGTTACCTCCTGCCACCTTCCTTCCTGCTTGTTATGCTCCAGCCACACGGGCCTTCTTGCTGTCCCTCCAGCATCCAACCTTGACCCTGCCTCAGGGCCTTTGCACTGCCTATTCCCTCTGCCTGGAACTCTTCCCTCCCAGATACATGCACAGCTCCCTTCCTTCCCTCCTCAGATGTCCTTTGACCCCTCCATCTAAAATAGTTTCTTATCATCCCACCCCTGATGCTCTTATTCTGCTTTGTTTTTTCTCAGCACGAGTCACTTGTTGAAATTTCATCATATATTGTGTTGTTTTTTGTCTGTTTCCCCCATGGAACGTCAGCTCCCTGAGGGCAGAGGCCTTTTCTACTTTGCTCATCTGTGATCCTGGCTCCCGGCCCAGTGCTTGGCACACAGTAGGCCCACAGTAGTTGTGGAGTAAATGCATAAAGACCTCTGTTGTCTCGGGCATTTGAGATCTACTCAGTGCTCCGCATTTGTCATTGCTGCAATCCTGGGAGACAGCAGTTTGAATCCAGGGTTTTCTGACTCCAGCGCCTTGGCTCGCCTCCGATATTCCACCCCCTTTAGGCTCCACTTGCCTCCTCTGTGAGATGGATTTGACAATAGTGCGAATGCATATTGGAGTCGGGGCCCGGCATGTGACCGGTGGTACACCCAGAAGGGTTGAATGGAAGACGTTTGATGAGGGCTCTATTCACAATGATGGGGGGGGGGGCGCAGGAGGAAATGGCGTTATTGGAGCCTGGTGAGAGCAGGATCCATGGCTGAGGGTCCCCCACCGAGGAGACAGGCTGAGGCGGGGGTCCGGGGACAATGAACATCTGGGCTGCGCTCCCTGCGGTGCCCCCACTGGCAGAACTCACTGGCAGCCGGGGGACCAGGGAGCCTCTGGGATGCACGGGCCTCCTGGAGGGCACACGGCTCAGAGGCATCTGGAGAACGCAGCCTCCTAAGGTCGCTGTGAGGGCCACATGAGCTTGTGTGTGGGACTTGCCTGGTCCAGCACCAGTGACATAACTGATCTCGTTGTTAGGTGGGTGATGGAAGCAGTCGATGATTGTTAGGCTGTCGTTCCTCGTTTCCTCCCTCCCTCCCTCCTCTGAGCATTTCAGCTCTGCTAAGAGTTGAGATCTGTGTGAGGAGCGTGTGACTTCCTGAGGTGCTGAGGCAAGGCTGGCTGTTTTTAAAACACAGTAATCTCATTTGCTCGGTTCAAGGATGCACACTTGTTCTCACATTTTCACGTAGCTGAACAGGACATGTCTCATAGCCGGTGAGTGCTTCTCCTGAGGACAGACCTTGACTTTCCTGTTCACCGCGGTGTCTCCTGGCTCACAGTAGATGCTTGGTAAACACGTGTGGAATGAGCGAACTCATTCTGACAGTAGTAGCCGCCTTGTGTGTGCATGAGCGCGTGTGTGTGTCACTGTCAAGCCTTGCTGGCACATCCACAGACATTCTCTCCCTGGGGAAGTCTGCAGATTCCGTGTTTCGGCCAGACCGCCTTCCCTGTCTGGTTTGGCCCAGTCCTGGTCTGGGACTGTGGGTGGATGAAAAAGCTGAAGGTCCCAGAGGCCACATCATCAGAAAAGACATACCCATTGAGCCCCGACTGTGGCAGCACACGGAGCGTCTCAAGGACGCGGACCCCAAGCATCTTCCTTCTTTTATGTGATGAACTATTTCAGACATGCTCCAATGGAGAGAGAATAATACAACAAACTCTCCTGGGAAGCTAAGAAACCAGCCTGACCAGCGCTACTGGAGCTTCTGTATTCCCCTCCCCAGTGGCCCTCCTTCCCTCTCTCAGAGGTAACCACTGTGCTGAAATTGGCATTTTAATTCCCATGCATTTATATATATCAATATACCCAGTCAGTTCTCATCATGCACAGTAGTTTTGTTCTGTAAAACACTGCGTTGATGAATGCTGAACCATTATCTCCGGGGGAAATATGGACAAAGATTATAATCTTAAATCCTAAATCAACTCATTCTGGTAGATTCTATTTTATTTATTTTACAAAAGAGAAAAATGAGGCCCAGAAGTAAGTGACCAGCATGAGGCCGCCCCACTAACAGATGCCAGAGCTGAGATTCAAACCCCGTCCCTCTGGCCCCAGAGCCAGCCCTGCTTGCACGACTCCACATGGCCACCTGCCGCCTCCATCTGAGGAGGCGGATCAGCGCCTTGGTTGACCTTGGCTGTGAAGGCGCCCTTTGCGTGACTCAAAATTTTTGCTGTTCTGTGTATGTCTGTGAATGACTACAAAGAGCTCTCAAGTATTGATTTTGGGGTTACAAATAAATTTTAGCAAATAGACAAATTCGTAAATACAGAATCAGCAAATAGTGAGGATTGACTCGTAAATATGTACTTAGTGTGTGTGTGTGTGTGTGTGTGTGTGTATATATATATATACTTAAATATCTATAGTATCATATATTTATATAATACCTGTGTGGATTCTTAGACACAATATAGCACTGTTTTGCAGATTTTAAAACTGTGTGTAAATAGTATCACACCAGAAATAGCTTCTGCAAGAGGCTTCCTTCCACCCCCTGTTGGTGGTGGTGTAGCTGTGGTTCGTTTCACTGCTGCAGAGGAAGAGCCAGTGTTCGCGGGGCACTTGCTCTGTGCCGGGAGCAAATGCTTTATGTCACATCTGGTTGAACCCTCAAAGTCGCCCTATCAGGTGAATACTGTTCTTATTCCCATTTGACAGCAGAAGAAACTGAGGCACAGTGAGGTTAAATGAGTTGCCATTAGCACTTAGGAAGTGTTTATTGAAGGAACAAGTGATGCAAACAACCTAAATGACCATTGCTAGGAGGATGGATCAATAAACCGTGGGATTCTAAGTTGAGGTCGATGTGCAAACAGTTGTCGTGGAGAAGCTTTCACCGAAGGCGTGGGCTCAGGTCTGTAAGTGTTCTGGCTCTCATTGCGGTGTTTTTGGGGGTTTGGTTCGTGGGGAAGGTGCAGCCCTGGTCGCTGGCCAGCCCAACTGCGTAGAAGTTGCCCTTGGAGATGCCGCCTTCTCTTCCAGCGGTCCCCTGCGCTGTGGCAAAGTGGAGTGGCTGGAGTCGCTGTGTCAAGCCCTGCCAGGTCTCTTACCGTGTCCGCCAGAGGCATGTCCTGCAGGAACCAAGGAACGGGGGTGCCCCCTGCCCCCCGCTGGAGGAGCGGGCTGGCTGTGTGGAGTACTGGAGCCACCCAGGAGTGGAGTGCCAACAGTCCTTGCGTGAGTAGGGGCGGCTGGGGGCGGCTGTCAGTGGGAACAGCCTGGCTGGACGGCAAGGCCCTCCACGAGTTCCTGGGGAGGGTCTGAGGTTGGGGTGGGACTCTGCCTTCCTTTGCTCTGGTCCCCACTCCTCACCTTGTGAATGAGGTAAGAAGCTCTGACTTCCTCTGGGGATCTCAGAGGAAAGAGAGGGGATCTCTCTTTCTACTCATCTCTCAATGTGAATCAGCCGGGACTTGGTTTGAATGCAGATGATGGGAAACCCAACTTGAACTCATCAGAGCCCAAATATGTGGCTCATGTAACTAAAATTCCTGGGGCTACATTCAGGCATGGCTGGATCCAGGGCCTCAAGCAGTGTTGCTAGGAATCTCTCAGCTCTGTTTACCTCTGAGTTGGCCTCCTTCTCAGGCTGGCTCTCCCTTTGAATCTGGTGGGGGTGGGGGAAGGGTCAGCCCCATCTGAATGAGAGTAGGGGAGGGGTGTTCTCCAGAGGGAGATTGGGGAGAATGGTTGCAGGGCGGGCAAGACAAGGGAGGCCCACTACATTGCACACCCTGGCAAAGGGGTTTTGTATCACTATGAAAAACAGGTGACGCTCATTTTACAGCTGAAGAAGTTTACCAACTGTGTGAAGCGGTTTTCCAGAAGGGCTAGAATGGCAGGCTGCAGGGTTAAACTGTCCCCTTCCACTCTCCCCATGCCACCGCCTGGCGGGGAGGGTAGGTCATCCTACAACAGGAATCTTACCGTGGTGCCACCTTCCTGATTAAATTCTCCAGGGGCCACCTGGTGCTCCGGGAACCCAGTCTCCTCCTCTGGCCATGAGCGCGGGCTCTTGCCTCCTCCGGTCTCATCTGCTTCTTCCTTCTGCCTGTGTTTTAATTAATTAATTAATTAATTAATTAATTTATTTTGAGGAAGATTAGCCCTGAGCTAACTGCTGCCAATCCTCCTCTTTTTGCTGAGGAAGACTGGCCCTGAGCTAACATCCATGCCCATTTTCCTCTACTTTATATGTGGGATGCCTACCACAGCATGGCTTGCCAAGTGGTGCCATGTCCACACCTGGGATCCAAACTGACGAACCCCGGGCCGCTGAAACAGAACATGTGCACTTAACTGCTGCGCTACCAGCCCGGCCTGTGTTTTAAAGGGTCATTCTGACCACTGTGGGGACAGCTGATGAAAGGGGTCAGAGGGCAGCAGGGGGACCAGGGAAGAGGCTACTGCAGTGGGGCAGGTGAGAGAGGACAGTGGCTGCACCAGGTGGTGGCACTGGGGTGATGAAGTGGCAGTGCCCGGAAATTGTTGCCCCTCTGCCCTGCCTCACCTTGCCTGGTTCATCATTTCCTGCATAGATGCCACTTTTCCCCAGGAGGATTTTCCTGACTGCCCTACCATGTGCCAGCTCTTTGCCACATTACTTGACTCTGTGAGGCCAATGTTCCTATTCTCATTTACAGAGGGGAAAACCAAGGCTCAGGAAGGCACGAAACTTGCCCAAGACACATGACTCATTGTAGATCATCTTATTTAGCTCTGACAGTAACTCTATGATGTAGGTTCTGGTATCGTCCCCATTTTGCTGAGGAGGAGACTGAGGCTCAGAGAGGTGCAGTAACTTGACCAAGACCACTCAGAGATAGGAGGGGGAGCTGGCACTAGAACCTGGGCTTCTCTGGGCCTCTCCTCCCTGCTGTAGACTGCACCAAAAGAAGCACCATGGGTGCTGGAAGAGAGGAGGGAAGGGAAATTGTGTGTTAAGAGTATATGGCAAAGACCAAGTCCTGTCTCTAGGGCAGCCGCAGAGAGAGGGGCCTGGGATGCTGGAATGACCTTCCTTGAGGCCACAGCATTCGTTCAACACCCAACCTTTGATTCAACTCCATCACTCAGGGAATAGGGACGGGGAGGGACTTCCTTTGGCTTTTTCATTTTCCTAAGGTATCACCAGCCTCTTGTGGACTCACTCTCAGTTCTCTTCCTCCGTCTGCTCTAGGAAAGAAGAGACTTGGAAGCTGGCCCAACAAAATAATTTTATTAATTTATTTATCCATCCATCCCTCTCTACTTCCTTTTTCCATCTTTATGTCTTCCCACCTATTCATTCATCCATCCATCCGCTTTTCCATTCATCTGTTTTTTTATCCATTGATCTCTCCATCCTCCTGTCATCTCTCCATCCATCCTTCCTGCCATCCATCATCTCTTCTGTCAGACATCTCTGTCTCTCTTTTCTTCTATCCTCCCATCTTCCATTTATTTACCCATCATCCATCCATTCTTCCTTTCTTTCTTTCATCATTTTGGCCGTCCATCCATCCATCCATCTATCCATCCATCCATACAGTCAACTCTTTTATCTACCCTTTTTTACTCACTCACTTATTCATTCATCAAAATCATTCATTTGAAAAACTTTTATTGAGACCCACTATGCAACCCACTGTGCTAGGCTCTGAGTCCCGGAGAGAAATACGACCCTGCCTCCAGCATTGCATTAAGGGTCCCAGTGGGGACCACTCCCCAGTTACAAGGTCCCACAGTCTCCTTAGGACTGCCATATATGAGCCCCGGCCACCAGGAGTACCTAACCCTGCTTCCCATGGTGTCTGTGCCTGGTGGGTGCTCGCCTACCTAACTCTGTTTTCTCCTGGGCCCACAGTCCCTGCTCTGATAACCACAGGCAGCTACGGGAAAGAGCGGAAAAAGCAAGGTGTCCCCAAGGAGCGGGAGACAGCAGGGTAAGTGGAAGCCAATAAACGCAAAGTCAAACTAAAGTTTGTGAATATTTTCTTCAGATTAAACTTTCATCACGTCTCTCTCTCACTTCGATAGCTTCACTATCTCCTCATTTCTTGTCCGGTTACGTCTGTAAGCTCAATTAACATGGATTTTTGAAGGCCTTGATCATTGGTCTCCATTCACCTTCATTCCTTCCTCCCTTCATTCATTCACTCAACATTCACTGAGTGCTCATTATATGACAGGCACTGTGCCAGACCTTGAGGCTACAGCGAGGAACAAAAGAGACAGAAATACTTGTCCTCGTGGAGTGGACTGTCTAATCGGAGGAGACAGACTATAAAAAAAATAAATAGCGTGTCAGATGATGCCAAGTGCTGTGGAGAAAAATATATCAGGGAAGAGGGTGAGGGTGCCAGGGACGTCCTCACTTGACCTTTGAACTGAGATCTATCTTAGGAGGAGGCTATCTGGGGGAAAAGCAGGTCTGGAAGAGGGACCAGCATGTACAAAGGTCCTGAGGCAGGGCATGCCTAGTGTGTTCAAGGATTAGCAGGACCTTGTGTGGCTGGAGTGTAGGGAAAGTGAGAGAGTGGGAAATAAGGTCAGAAATATATTGGGGGGAGGGATCAGATCTCATAGTGCCTATAGGCTGTGGTGGGAATTTGGGCACCTGCGTGAAATGGGAGACACGGGAGCGTTTTGAGCAAAGGAGTGACATGATCTCCCTTAGGTTTTCACAGGATCCCTTTGGATGCCGTTTGGAGGATCGATTGCAGAGAGGCCAGGAGGGAATCAGGGAGGCCAGTAGGGGGAGGCGGGGCTGCTGCGACTGAAAGAATAGGGTCTGAACTCAGGCAGTGGCAGTGGAGACGGGGAGGCGGGGTGTACTAGTTAGGATTCTTTTCATTGCAAGTGACAGAAACTCAGCTCAAACGGGCTCGAGTGAGAAGAATTACTGGTTTACATAACTGCAAAGGAAGTTCTGAAATAGAATTACTGTGAGCATGGCTGAAGCCAAGAGGTCACATAACGCGGTTGGTACTTGCTCTCCTCTCTCGTTCTCTCCCTCGCGCCATATATTGACTTCCTTCTCAAGCAGCCAGCCTCTATCCTTACAGTGGCCAAGATGACCACCAGCCTTCCCACGGCCTCCCAGCGTAGCCCCTCCAGCGGAGGGTCCTTCCTCCCGGTCTCCATGTGTCATTTCGGGAGGAGACCCTGATCGGTCTGCTAGGGTCCCAGGCCCATCCCTGAAGCAGTCACCATCGTCTGGAGGATGGGCACTCTGATCGGTCACCTTCAGTCATCTGCCCACTCTGGTGGCAGGTGTGGGGAGCCAGGACCAGCTGCCTTGATGGAATGCCCCTCCGAGACCACGTAGGGGAGGGCAAGAGCTGCCCAGATGAAACACCAAACGGGGCAGAGAAGGTGTGTTGGGAAGAGAAAAGTTCCATTTTTCACAGGCTTCCGGTAAGGGACAGATTCCGGAGGAGTTCTGGGGGTGGCTCCAGGAGGAAGGGGCTGAGGACAGGTCTTGGGCCGTCCTAGAAGAAAACTGGCTTTCCTGAGGCCTCCCAGAAGCTGCCGCCACCAGAGGGCCCCAGCCCCACATGGAGTCACCCCGAGGCCTTGACAAGCTGCGTCTCCTCCAGCAGGGGGGGCCCATTTACTGTGACTTGTAGAAAAAGTTGGGTAGGAGTAAAATTTTGGCAAATTGGGTCTTATTTCAGATAGCCCGGAATGGGGAGCTTCCCTTTTAAATAATTCCCGTGGCGAATCTTTTCTACGAAACAGGATCTTTTATGAAATGCAGTGGTGTGCTTGTTGAGGCTTTTTGGGTTTAGGTGGCATCACCACTTATTAGCTTATTATTGGGCAAGTTGTCTCTCTCTCTGATCCTCAGTTTCCTATTCTGTAAACTGGGGCTACACCTACCTCGCGGGGTTTGCCCATCCCATTGGACCAAATGGTTCATTCAGCAAATTCTTATGGAACCAGGTACTGTTCTAGGAGTTGGCTACAACAGTGAACAGAACGAAACAGTTCCTGCCTTTGCAGAGGCTGACCTTGTAGGGCAGACGGATGAGAACTAACCTGTGTCGCCTTTTGGATGTGGTGCTGAGGAGAGGGCCTGACGCATGGGAACCCGCAATGAGAGTCACTTAAAGAAGCAGGAGCCGCGTCTCCTGCTGGATGCAACCCGTTGATGCAGATGGAGTTGCCCGAAAGGGCTCTGTGTCGGAGGGAAATAGTACCAAGCTGGACCTACACAGGCCTAGGTGTACAGCAGGTGCTCCATAAATGCTCACAGGTGCGCCGGGTGGTGTCTCCCTGTGTGGCTGCAGGTACTGTGTCCAGTTCCGGCTGGGGCCCATTCCCGGGAGCTGCCAACAGGTGAGGGCACCCCATGCCCGGTGGACAAGGTATCTGACCCAGGGCCACACGGTGTGTGTGAGGTGTGAGTGGCCTGCCCAGGACGCCAGGAGCCGGCGCTGCTACGGGGATGGCGGTGGGGCCGAAGGGTAAGCAGAGGGCCTGGGGCCTAGGGAGGTGTGACTGGAGAGCCTGGGGCTTCTCTGCTACCTGAGAGATGAAGGTGCTGCAGGAGCGAGATGCTGGATGCTGCTCCCTGGTCAGGCGGGGCCCAGGGAGGTCCTGAGCCCAGTGTCTGAGGAGGAGCAGCTCCTGCCGCTTCCAGCTGTGTGAACTTGGGCAATCTCATAACCTCTCTGAACCCCAGTTTCCTCATCTGAAAATGCAGATAAGAAGAGGACCTCCCCAGGGAGCGATGGTGAAGGTTAAGGAAGATCGTGCAAGTCGAGGACTTAGCATAGCTCCTGGCATCCAGAAAGAACTCAAGAAAAGGGAGCTGGTATTGTCATAAAATCCTCACAATTCCCTGAATAAGTCAAGTTTGGTTACTCTCATTTTATAGATGGGGGACCTGAGGCTCAGAGAGGCAGTGTGACTTAGTCAAGGTCACACAGCAGGATTTAACCCAGATTTGGCTTACATCGGCTCCCTAGACTCAGAAAGCACTTAGCATACTAAATGTAACAGTAGCTAACATTTATTGAGTGCTTACTATGTACCGACTATTTTAAGTTCTTTGTATTCATTCATTCAATAAATATTTGTTGAGCACATACTATTGAGCATGTGCCAGGCAATGTTTTGGGCACTGGGGAGACGCAGTGAATAAAGCAGATGTGGCCCCTGCCCTTCTGGAGATGACATTCTGCTGTGAGGAGACAGACGTTAGACAAATAAATCTGTAACTTGTCAGACGGGAGATAAATGTCAGGGAAAGAAAGCAGAATGAGAGGGAAGTTCTGGGGTTGTTATTTTTCAAGGAAAGTGACACTAAGGAGGTGACATTTGAATAGAGATCTGAAGGAAATGCGGGAGGGAGCCATGTGGATGTCTGGGGGAAGGGCATTCCAGGCAGAGGGAACAGCAAGTGCAAAGGCCCTGAGGTGGGAGCATGCCGCCATTGTGGCCGGAGTGGAGTGAGCAAGGGGGAGCGTGGAAGGAGGTGAGGACACGTTGACACACAGTATGCCGTTGAAACATTCCAAGAACCCATAGTGGATGCTTTTGGGATCTTTGCTTTCCAGATGAGGAGACTGAGATGCAGAGGTGCCCAAGGTCACACATCTAGCAAGTGACAGAAGTGGAATTTGAACCAAAACCACTCAGACCCCTGAGCCAAGCTCTGGAGACTAGACAAGACCGTTTCCCACTGACGGCGCTTTCCCAGCGCAGGGACAGTACTGGTGGAATGAGAGCTCTCTGGGGTCTCCAGTTCTTCTCTCATTTCTCAAGGTGTTGATTTCCTTCCTCTTGAAATGGAGCAGCCCCGCTCATTGCAAACCCAGGGCTGACGCCAGATGCGTGTTAGGGACACGTGTCTGAACGAGAGGCATCGGAACTGCACAGATCCGGGTTCAAACCCCACCTATGCGCCTTCCAAGCTGTGTGACGTTGGGCAAGCCCACCCCCTGACCCTGATAGTCCCCACCACTCTGACTGTGGGGAGGATCCTGAGCCCTTCGCACAGCACCTGGCCTCTGATGGATGCTCGGAAGTGAAAGCTGCCACTGTCGTGTCTAACCTATGAAATGGGTATGATAATAGGTACTTTGTGAAAATGAGACACAGTAGATGTGATGGACCTGGCACATAGCAGGTGTCCAATAAATAGATGGCAGACAATATTATCACACTCTAAGGAGGCCCTTCTGCCCTCTGCCCCAGTGTCTCTCCTACTTACCTGTCCTAGACCTGAGATCCTACCATTAGAGGTTCATTCTTTGGGCTAGAAGCTTACGTCTTAGAACCTCAGTTTATATATCCATTTTTGGATAAGCTTTTCTAGTTCTAAGACTCTGATTAATCCCACATTTCTCTTTTGGGATGCAAATCCTCCCAAGTGAAGACCATGGCACTTTGGTGAGGCTGAGGTGAAATTCGCAGGAACCCCTGACTCCACCAGGTTTGGGCAGGAACGGAAAGCAGAGCAGGGCCGTGCCAGAGAGGGGCATCTCCCCTGCTCCCACCCTCCCCGGGGCCAGGCTCACCGAACAGGTGGTGGAAGGGCTGATCGGGGCATGAGCTCACCAGGCAGGACTGGGCAGAGGCGGAGGATCAAAGCGAGGATGGAGACGAGCTGTCAGCTGGATTCTTTCCCCGGGCAGCTGGCCAGGGCAGTGTGCAAAGGGCCCGACTGGGGAGGGATCGACCTGTCAGTTGTGCCAGTTGGGGATTTTCGGAGGGTTTGTTTAGCCTGAGAAGTGTCTCTGAGTTTGGGACAAGAAGAAGGAACACCTGCCATAGTCGTGCACCTACTGTGTGCTGGGCACCAAGTAGGTGCTTTACATGTGAGTTCTCATTCAGGCCTCACAAGCTTAGAACAGGGCCTGGCACATAATAGGCACTCAATCAGGGTTACTTACTATTGTTATTATTTTGTGTTTCTTAAAGATTTGAATTAGACCTACAGAGAATTGGCTAGAACACATATGAGCAGGTTAACAAATGTTTGGAAGGGAGGCATACCTGGTTAGTCACACCCAGGCAAGGAGTAGAGCCTGACTAGCTTCCTGTCCTCCCCTGGGCCCCCTCCTAACCACAGCCCACCCCCCATAAAGGAAGCCACCGTCCTGAATTCTGCGGTGACCCCTTGTCCAGTTTTCCTTCTGGATCCCTGAGCTCTATAATTTACTTTTGCTTTTTTTCAAATGTTACATAAATGAAATCACACGATGCGTGCTTTGGAATCCGACTTCTTTGGCTCGTCGTGAAGTTTGAAGGTTCGTGCGCGTGCCTGCCTTGTAGCATCAGCTGGTTCATTCTTGGTGCCGAAATGGTCAGCCATTAGTATCATGCTCATTTCTATTTTCTCTGCACACGTATCTCGTTGGACCCTCTCCTTTAGAAAGGCGCAGGTGGTGGATATTTCTGCTTCCTTTTGAGGAGAAGGCGGCTCCTAGGAGCTGGGTCATCAACTGATTTCAGAGCCTGTGCTCTTAACCATGGCACTGTGTCGCCTCCCAACAGAGGAGGCAGAGGGACACAGGGAGGTTTAGCAACTAGCCTGGTTTTCCTAGCAAGCATGTAAGAGCACTGCCTCACCAGACCCTAAGAGCTGAGCCTGGACTGCCCCATGTGGCCTCTGGGGTCGGCTCCCTGGGGCTAGCTCAGGGCCAACTTCTCCATCAGGCACATCTTCGTTTCCCTCGGTAGACGCAGGGCCCAGGGTCTACGCACTTCTAGGACCCACGAAAAATTTTAAATTTTAATTTCTTTTAAAATCAGAAGACGAAAAGATGTAATAATGAAAATTGAATAATGAATCCAGCCTGGAATATTCGTCTCTAGACAAGGCAGTCATAAACTGGGATTTAAAATATTTTTTGCGTGGAGGAAGAGGCCCACAAAGGCCAACGGCCCTGGAGCCCAGGAGAGTCCTAATGTGACTGAGGCAGCCCCGTCTCTTGCAGGAACCAGCTGTTGCTGTGGCAGGCGGCCGGCCACCCCCGGTGCCGAGGGACCTGGGAGAGGCTGGGGCGGCCCCGGGACTGCTCCTGCCCCGAGGTCCACAGCCTCGTCTTCATCTAGGAGCCGCGGGCCCCCGCTGTGCAGACCTCCTCTCTCGGAAGCCTCCCTGGCTGGCAGTGAGAAGCGGGGTCTCAGGGTCCCGCAGGACGAGGGAGGGGAGAGGTCTGCAGATGGGAGATGGAGGGACAGCCTTGTCCTTACGGCCTTCCACCGACACTGAGAATAGCTCTGCGTTCCGCCCGGTGCCAGCTGAGTCATAGCCTTACTCACAGTCCCTCTAGCTCAGGGCACCCCGATTTCATCTCCTGAACCCCCTTGTGGCTTTTCCTCTGTTCTCCCTGTCTGCACACCTCCTTCTGTTGACTCTCCACTCTCCCCCTTTTTTTACTTAAATAAATTTATTTTAAAAGGAATCTTATTCTTAAGTATTTGTGTTTAAAGAGGAAATGTTTTATAATAAATAGAAATGAAGATAAATAAAACAAATATTTATTAAGTACCTACCGCATGCCAAGTACCGTCCTGGCCATTATACATGTTGACTCATCGGATCCTGAGTTGGGTGCAATTATTGTCCCTATCTTACATGTGAGGACATTGAAGCACAGAGAAGTTAAGCCATTTGCCCGAGGTCACACAGCTAGTGAGGGCAGAGTTACGTCTACTGCTGAAATTCCCTGCGCTAGTACATCAGCTCCATGAGGGCAGGATTTTGGTCTGTCTTGTTCCTTGCTGTGTCCCCTGTGCCTAGAACATGCAATAATGCTCAATAAATATTTGTTGAATGAATAAAGGAACGAAGAGATGAATGACCAGCTGCCATCATTAGAAGGCAATCAGAAAATTGAATGCGATGGAAACCAAACAAGTGTGGCTTGGGAGCTGAGCATGAAGCCCGCGCTGTCCTTGTTCAAACAAGAAATTAGCACGCGGTGGAGAGACGGTGCCTAATGGAGACTCGCTCCTTGACAGGTTAGAATTACAAGAGACTTGAAAGGGGGTGTTCTTTTCCCCTGGGAGTCAAATATTATTAATACATTTTTTAATACCTTTATCGAAATAAAATTCGCGTACACGCATTCACGCATTTAAAGTGTACCATCCAGTCCTTTCTTTATGTCCACAGGATTGTGTAACCATGCGAACGCCTAAGTTTAGACCATTTTTGTCCCCCCTAAAAGAAATCTCGTACCCGTTAGCAGTTTCTCCCCACTCGTCAGACCCCTCCAACCCTAAGCAACCACTCACAAATCTACTTTCTCGTTCTGTGGATTTTCCATCCTGGACGTTTCACAGAAATGGGATCTTACAAACGGTCTTTTGTGTCTGGCTTCTTTCACTTAGCATAATGTCTTCACGGGTCATCCATCTTGTAGCGTGTACTGGCATCAGTTATTTAATGCCACATCCTGGGTTTGTGTAAAACCGTCCCACCTATGGTCCCGCTTCGGGAAGCTCCGGTGGAACGGAGGGAGAATTCTGGGGGGAGTTGTGGCTCACCCCCGCCCCTCGATCGGAGTGTGCTGGCCCAGCTCTCCCGTGTTTGGACCCAGGCGCTCCGAGGATGGAGTGGTGGTGGGGGCGGGGGGCGGGCTGTGTCTTTCAGCTGTCCGTGGGGCTGGGCAGGAACTGGCCCACGTGTTGCTGTTACTCAGTGCTCCTTCCTAAATCAGAACTCTGGGTGCTCCGGGAAGCACTGTCTGTTCCTCCTCCCCGGGAGTGTGAATGAGTCACCGTGCAGGCATTTCAGCAGCACCTGTGTGGGGTGTGGAGCTGCGGCAGAGGAGGGGAGAGAGGGGCAGGCTGGCCAGGAGGCCAGCTCGGGGGCTGCCCCACTCTCACCCAGGCCGGCTTCCCTAGATGCCAGCTGTCCCGCTTCTGCCCCGACACTTGTTTTGGCCTTGGGAGGCTGTTTCATGTGGAAATCATTTTCTGTTTAGCTGCTGTCTTCCCAAGCAGACGTAAGTGCCTGAACTGCCCAGGCTCCGTCATATGTAGCTTTTGGAGTTCATGGTAGCTCCCACTTTTTCAGCCCCTAAGTAGTGATGCCCGTTTTGCTCGATGCCTCGAGTGACGCTTGAGGACTCTGGAAGGTAGGTGATCTTTTCCCCCTTTACAGAAGAGGAAACCGAGGCTCAGGAAAGTCAAGTGCCTTGACCAAGTTCTCATGATTAGGAAACACCGGAGCTTGGATTTGGACAGAACTCAAAGCCTGTGCCCTTGACCAAACACGAAGGCAGAGGCTGTGGGGGGAACAGCTTGGTGATGGGGACCCAGAGGGCAGGGCCGTCTCTTGGGTACCGTGAAATGGGACATTTGCCTTGGGTCCTCCCTCAGGATTGTTGCTGGAGCTTGTGCAGGGTGAGGGAATCTGCCAGGGAGCGAGAGGCATCTCCATCGAGGGAATACTTAAAAAAAAGAAAAATCAGAAATGTGTTGAGGATGGAGGTGGGAGCATGCAGTGTGATGTTCCAGGAGTCTTGCCCTACACCCAAGGACTTCAAGTCAGGAGGCTTTGAGGGATGAGTGACAGACCTCAACCAATGTTAGCAAAAGAAAGAAATTCATGGATTCATGTAATTAAAATATCCAGAAAAGGTCTGCCTTCAGGTATGGCTGAATCCAGGGGTTCAAAGGTTGAAGCATGTGTATCATTTTCTTTGGGCCCTGCTCTCTTCTGTGTTGGCTTCATTCTTAGGCAGCCGTCTTGTGTGGCATAGACGCCCTACAGGACCTCCAGGCTTTCTTCCTTCCAGTTCAGCACCACCAAGAGGAAGAGAGCGTCTCATTTCCAATGGCTGTAGCCTTAGCTAAAATTCTGGGTTTGCTACTTATTGACTCATCTCACATGCTCATCCCTGAACCAATGAGGCGTTGGGGAATGGACTGCTCTGATTGGTGGGGGCTGGGCCAAGCGCGCATCCCTGGAGGTAGGGGAGGGGTCAGTCTTACTTAAGCCAAGACTGACCAAGACATGGACCAAGAGCAGGGAAGGGATGGTCCCCAAGGAAAACGCAGGGTGCTGGTGTCAGAAGCAGCAGGAATGGGAGCTGGGCAGGTCCCAGACAACAGATGTCCTCCTCATGGGAGGTAGAGTGGCTCCCATCTATCCAGCTTTGCCACCCACTTGCTGTGTGACCTTGAGCAAGCCCTCTTCCCTCTCTGAGCCTGAGTTACCCCAACTCTGCAGTGATGATCTCTATGGACTCATCTAGCTCTGAACTTCTGAGGCCAACAGACTTCATTTAGCCAATGGCCCAGCATCCTAGCTTAACAGATGCAAGCTGGGCCTTAGGAATGCACCGCCTTCACAAACCCTGAGATTGAACTTGGGGCCGGAAACCCAGCCTCCTGTTCCTGCCCTTCCCAGCCCGGCATGGCCTGCAATGGTGCGAGGGAAGAGCTCCCAGGAGGTTTCTTTGCATATCCCCAGTGTTCTCCATCTATAATTGGCTCCAAATGAGATGATCTCATTCCTGAACACTGAGGAAGATGGGGGGAGGGCGGGGACAGCTCCCTGGCAGCATCTGACATATTTGTGACTAACCCGCTTCCCTCTGGGAGAGAGAGACGGTCCACTTTCTCGAAGACGATGTAAAAGTTTGAAAAAAATGTCTTGGTAACAGATTGAGGAGACTCCAGCTTTTTGTGCTTTTGAGAGGCCCACGGTGTTTCTCCACTCTGTCCAAACCGGGTGTCTTCTGACCGTTGCTCACAAGTGCTCTTGACCACACGTCCCATCCACCTGGCCGGGGAGGAGTCCAGCAGGCCCGGTCCCTCCAGCGATTTATCTTGTCCGGACTCTCGATGGAGTCTTGTGGCCGTTGGAGCTCGTTTAAATGCCCATACATTAATTTTGAAAGATGAGCTCCTAATCAACTTTTAAAAAGCTTGTCGAAGCACCATCTGCTTGGCGTTTGTCACTATCGCATTACATAAGAGGAAAGACATTTTTAAAGAATGCGGCTGCATTTAGTAATTGGATCGCCGGAGAGGAGCCAAGCCGGGGCGGATGGCACCGCGATTCAGAAATGCCACGGGCCTTCTCTGGGGGGCGGCGGCCTCCCCAGATTCCACATGGTCTTGGCAGAGACCTGAGTGAGTGCAGCCCAGCCTGGGGGACAGGCCTGAGGGGCCTCTTTTCCTCTTGCTTTGTTCTCCCTCTTATTTTTCCCTCCCCCCATTTGTTTTTCCGCACCCCTGCCGTCTCAGATTGATTCTGTCCGGTGTTAGCAATAAGCGAGTGACTTCACTTCTCTAAGCCCCAGTTTCCTCATCTGGAAAATGGGAATGATAATCTAGCGCTGCTGTGAGATTTAAATGCGTTAACACACACAGTGCCTGCCACGGAGTGAGTGAGCATTGCACAAACTGTGTCTGATGCACGGAAGGTGCCGAATTCATGTCCATTTTCCTTCCTTTTCTCTCTCTTCCACTTGACTCCTAAGTATTTAGGAAGTGCCTGCCTTCGAGGCAGGCCACCTGGTGGCTGCATGTGGCCCCGTGCTCAGAAGGGCCCGCCCTTGGTTTAATGCTCTGCCGTCGCCGTCTTGAAATTCTTAATAATTTTTGAACAAGAGGCCCTTCATTTTGCACTGGGCCCCACAAATTATGCAGCTGGTCCCGTGTAGAGGTCTAGAAGGATGCTGTGTTTTATTGGACTGCCTGATGTTTAAAATAAACTGTTGAGTCCACATTTTAAAATCAGGAGAGTTCACATACAAATCTGGCATATTTTGGAAAATTAGGACACTTGCCACAGTGGGTCTACATTCCCATGTGCTGCCAACAGTGGCTGGAGCTGGGTGGTGGCGCCCTCTTCAAAGGGCCCGCGCTGCAGCCCACACCCCAGAGGCTTGAACCGAGGCCCTTTGCCCCTTTCTAGGGCAGCTGGCGTGGGGTTGGGGCCATGGCTTTGCAGCCAGGGTGTGTTTTCAGCTTTGCCAGCCATGGGTCCTTGGGCAAGTAGCTCTTTGCCTTCGTTTTCCAGCCGTAAACTGGAGATGATGCTGATAATAGCCACCTCTCTCTTAGGGATGTGA